GCCAAAACGGTGGGGCGAGAAAGGCAGAAAATGGGTTGACTTCCCGCCCTCCTGGGGCACGACATGTCTCCCTTCCTCTCTCACTACCTCTCCACATGCCGCTTTTCCGTTCATCTGTCGTCTCCCACAATAGTCTCATTCTTCTTCGTCTTTGCGCGCCAGTATTTGAGAGGCCATCTCGGCCTCCAATGATATCATTTCGCTGCCAGAATCGTCTCCTCTTGTTTCACATCTGTCTGTCTGTCTGTCTGTCTGTCTGTCTGTCTGTCTGTGTCTGCCTGTCATCTTGTGTAACCACTTCTCGACGGAATAATACCTTCTCTCCGACCACCTCATTTTTCTCACCTCACCTCACCTCATCTCGCAGCCTGCTGGGGCGTTCTTGCCGACGGATGACAACGACCGGATTCGCATCACCAAACTCGAAGAGCATCGTCTCGAAAAACGGAGGTACTGTGCCTATGTAGTGGTATGCTACCATCGACTTCGATCTGACCACTCTCGTTTCGTCTGCTCACCATCTCTCGAGGGACTCGCCGACGACGCCCAAGTCACCGAATATCTCTTCGTGAAGGATAACGCCGAAGATGACGCCCAGCACCAGCAGGATCACCGTGTAAGGCAGCCTTTGGGGACGGGGCAGAGGCGGACAGAGGCAGAACAATAGAGCGGGAGACACGGGGAGAGAGAGAGAGAGAGAGAGAGAGAGGACACGGAGGAGGGGGGTCGGTGACGTCAAGACGACGGGTTTCTGAGGGAGAGAAGACAAAGGACCAAGGTCAAGAGACGAAAACCTCTTGCCTCCATCCATGCACAACCACCAAGAACCAAGAATCTCATCTGCACATGGCTGCACTCATCACAGGCTTTTACACAGTCGGGTACTATATGTACCGCTGAGCTGCGTTTGCACAGCCAAGCGTGAACGGGGGGATGGGTTTCACACCAAGCGTTCATTCATATTGGAGCTTCGGTACACCATTGTGCGGGGTAGCTGGAAGAGCAAAAATCCGATTCGGCTACGGTTAACTTTCGTGTGAGAGGAGATGCTTGGCGGGTGAGCAAGAAACGGAGATTCAACGTCGCACTGGGCCACCACCGACAAGACGGCAAACCGTTGGTTGCGCCATTCGCAAAAACAAGGGTGTAGCTCCGTGANTAGCCGAGAGACAGCGACAATGCATACCGCACCATTCAGAGGTAGATAGATCTGAGCCGTTCCGGTGGACTGTAATGATTTTCGACGAGGTCAAGACTCTCCATTCCTTCCCTCTGCCCAGAATACTCGCAAACAGAACTACTGCCGGATGGACGCACGGATCGTCTCAGCCGTGCCCGGGAACCTAAATATTTCAGAAAACTAACGCCATGTTGTGATAAAGCATTACGTCGCAACCAACCCACAACCATCAGCCGTTGCCTTCGGCTGTGTTGCATTGTCACACAACTGTTGAGCGCATATGCATGCATATGGGCGCGATGTTCGGCGTCTGTGCTTGAACGTAGTAGTCAACGGCGCATGATGTAAGGAGTGTGAGTTTAACATGTGCCCCTGTGCAGCACGCTGAACAAATATCATCACACGCCGTGTTCTAGAGAGACAAAAGGGAGCCCCTGACGTCGAGACAAACAGAAAAAAACGAACTTTTTCCCACAATGAAAGAAGCAACAGGGCTAACGTGGGAGCTTCTTCTTGCCCGATTTATTGGCCTCGACCACGTCGTTTCTCGACAACACCGGCGACAGCAGGTTGCGCTCATGGTGCTGATCACGCGTGCGCGACAAGCGAGATGTTGTTACTTATGCTGTTGTTGTTGTTTTCACATTGAAAACCGTTCCGATCTCTCTACCCAGTACCTTCATCTGTCCGTACTGGTGTGTGCCCCAATCAATGTGACTGCCGTGATGACCAGAGGTCAAGAAACACACAAGCACCGTCGGGACCAAACTCAAGTATTTTCTTCGAAATCGTCCGTGTGGAAGGAGGTTTTCGTCCTCCAAACATGCTTTGTGACTTCTGTTTTTCTTTGCTCTCATCCTCCCACGCACAGCAGTTTTCGCAAGGGGCGGGCCATCTAAAGGTGGTTGAAAGTCGGTTGTTGTTGTTGTTGTTCCTCACATTAGCTCTATAGTCCACAAAAAATGGGGAGCCCGTGGTCTCAAAACCCGGCACATATGACGCCGCGGGGAAACAAACCAAAAATAGGGTACAAACCACTCGGAACAAAAAAACAAAATGATAGAAAGGAACAGGTATCGCACCGACCGTTCGAGAACAGAGCCCTCGGAAACCGATCAAAATACGGTGCGCTTGCACAAAGACAGGGCCAAACGTTTGCCCACTCCCTCTCACACACAAACACAGATGTACTCGACCACGCCGGCTTTAGGCCGGGCCGAGTAGGTATGTCTCTCTGTCCAGGACAGAGAGCCAGCTCTGTTCAGTCGTCATCGTGGCACACGTACGTACAGTACGTATGCGGCCCTCCCTCCTGACCGATGCAATTCTCCTCCTCCCCCGCATATCTCCACCACCACGTTCGTTCTGCAAACTGCTGCTGCTGGATTAATTGCTGTGTAGAAGAAGCGATGTGTGTTCCAATGCCAACCACACGAGGTGGAAAGCCAACTAAACTACGAGAGGACGGACGACCCCCCCCCCCCCCCCCCCCCCCCCCCCCCCCCCCCCCCCCCCCCCCCCCCCCCCCCCCCCCCCCCCCCCCCCCCCCCNCGTTCCTTGCGAGGAGCGGGGTTGTGGCACAGACGTGACATAAAAACATGAACAAGCAAACACCGCCCGTTCACGAGCGGTCCACCAAAACGTACCTTCAACCTAAGGTGTACCGTATTCGTTTGGGCTGAACAGAAGGCGGTGAGTCTGCTGCTGCATGCAGAAGCCGCTGCGGTCGACGAAGGCTGCACGTGCAGATAGCTGAAGCAAACTCGAAGCCGAGTCTTCGATTGGCACACGCCGCGATATATATCGCAATGCCTCTCGTCGCAACTGCTGCTGTTGTACTGCTTTAGACCCCGCGATACCCCGACACTGTTCGTCGCAGGCAACAAACCCACGCACCTTTCAAATACACACGAACGAACTCCAGGTCCACTCTCTCCAACCGCTGCTACCCTGCTACGTGACCTGCCAAACCTCTTACCCAGTGACCTTGGTGAGATACATCCTCGAGGCCGCTCCCAGGGTCATGGCCAGAACCAATGTGCCTATCCCGAAGTCCGTCATGTGGTGCCCGCCAGCGTCGTCCTCCTCGCTGCTCCTGCTACCTTCATCGCCCTCGGCGGCGTAGTAGTAGAAGTGTCCTCCTCCTGCCGCCACCTCTGCGGGAAACACGTACGAAGGTTCCCCCCCTCCTACAATGCCAGGCATGACTCCCACCTAGAAATGTGCCTCGACCGCGGCTCGGTGCGCCTCTGTAGCGCGGCAGTGCCCAAAACGTGTGCGGAAGGGCTCTGACGAACAAAAAAACACTCGGCTGTGTCAAAGGGAGAAGAGACACACAGACACAAGGAGCGCGATATTGCTGGCGACATCCGTTCCGCAACAAACAGCGTGTTTTTTCGGAGACCACGGGGCATCTATCTACCTGTTGCGACCTTCCCGAGTTTTCCCAAACCGTTAGTTACCTTGGTTCCCCTTTTCTCACCTCCCAGAGAAATCCCTCAGCGCAGTTTCCGCAAGAAAGCGTGCTTCCCCCGGTCGCATCGCGAGCCCCTTGCTGGTTGCGCTTTCACAACGCTCTCGGTGTGTGTTTTTTTTTTTTTTTTTTTTTTTTTTTNAGCAAGTGTATGTGCTGCGGACCTCGGTAGCGGGCAGTCAATCGGCCGCCGGCCCGGGGGGCTCGATGAATGAAATGCGGCGAGATTAAGGAGCTCCGTGAATCGAAAGGCGGTCCACGCGTGCATCTCCGCATTCCATTCAGCATTCCAGCGCAGGCAACACGGCATTCCAAGCTGCACGACGAGGAGGGAGAGAGCGTGGACCTGAGGGCGAGACAGCTAGAGCGAGACAGATAGCGGTGGGACGATGGCGAATCGTAAGCGGGATAGGTCGCCATCTCCAGGTATGTGACATGCACCTGGAAAAAACAAGGTCTTCGCCATCATCTATGGTAGACGCACATATCCGGAGTGTTGGGGCAGCAAGCGAACAGAACTCGACTGCAGCCGAGCCTGAGGGCGGCTTAATTGACCGCCCCTACCTCCTGGCAAGCTCAACATAGGGAAATGAGACGCGTTCGTTCGGAGTGCACAACTGTCACCTGTTTCCTTCTGATTGTGCACACGATGCATTGAACGATGCCTGCCTATTGTTAGCATGTAGACTCTAGGCCGTTGATCCTCGTCATGCTTCGCGCGCCCATCAATAGTGTTCAAATGCTCAGAATACACGCCAGAGAACTGCACCTCCGCAGGAGGGCAGAGTAAGGCACACATATCAACACAAACCAACTAAAAGAGGAGAATGGCGGGAAAAACGTCGATGGCAACACGGCAAGATGCACCTATAAACATCGTTGATTCGGCGCCGGCTTTCTGGGGGATGGGGAGGGAGCAGTGGCAGGCATAAATATGAGATAAATATTCCTAATAATAACGTCGCATCGTATCCTGTACGCTCGGCCATTGCGTCAGTTTGGTGAGTGTGGTCGATTGGTCGCCTGCCCATCTCAGAGGGGATAGAGAGGGAGGGAAAGAGAGCAAGAGTCGAGGTTGGGGTGGGAGAGTTAATGCCGAACAGGCGTAGGACACGCTCTTTGATACAACTCTATGAACGAGCTAATTTACAGCACTAAATATTTTTGATCGGGTCCTGAGACCTGCCCTGTATGTAGATCCTTTGGCACCCAACCTGCTTCTCTTTAAGAAGGACCTCGCACGGGCCGGTCCATCTGCGGAGTGTTGAACCGGCCAAACTGGGGAGTTTTTTCCGTGCGCCACGTGTGGCTTTTTTACGCCCGGGCTGCACGCACATGAAGCACGTACTCCAGGCCTCACCGGGCTTTTGGTGGGCACGTGCCGAAACCTTGTACGTAGGCTCAAGGTTCTGGACCAGAATCCTATGTAGATGCACCCCCTCCCATATTAAGCAGTTTTTCCGCCCAAGAGCTTTCGCTTGGCAGCAGCCTGAGGAGAGATGGTTTAAATGCGCTTCGAGTCTTTTTCGCAGCTCGGTGGATTCTACGCTAGGTTGGCTAGAAATAAACCGGGGAGGTCGAGATCGGGAGGTTTAGGCTTTTTTCGAGATCGAAGGAAGTTCCGGCCAACATAAATGAACTACTTTTCTCTTCTCAAATACCAAGACTCTTGGGAAGATGACCCAACAAACGGGCACGTGTGGGTATATGTACCCCGTAAGTCTTCTTTGTGATCTTTATCCGCCCTGCTCGGAGGTTAGTTTTAGCTTTTTTAACGCAACCCCGACTCTCGGTTTCGAAAAAAGGTCCCGACGAAGACCACGAGACGATGCGCATCATGCCCATAGGTGCCGGCAACGAGGTCGGCCGTAGCTGCGTGATCCTCAAGTACATGGGAAAGACCATCATGCTCGACTGCGGCATCCATCCGGTACGCAAGCAGCAGCAGTCTGTGGGAGTAACTTTTCGCATTGGTTAGCGTCCGTCGTGTGTGTCAGTCAGAGAACTATATTTCCGTCGCAACGTTCACCACCGGTGCAGCGCACACAGACAACGGGAGTTGTTGGGGAAGGTCTGGCATCGATACTGATTGTGCTCAACAAATCCGCGGGGTGACACAACGATTGCTGTATTTCCATGTTTCATGGCTTGCGGTGTGGCGCGGACAACAACTACAAGCAAGCCAACTCGAGATAGCGACTGATCGAACACACACACACATGTGCGTACGTCGGTTGCGAACCTTATGTATTGTGGGAAGTTTTCTTGTTGAGCATGGTGAAATAATGAACTTGCCCCGTTTTTCACCGCGTTTAAGAACTTTTCTTAGACAATGACAACAGGCGGCAGAGACGTCAACGCGGACTTGCGTGTGTATTGCTTGGGGCAGGTAGAAAGTCTAGTGCCATCAGAATCAGCACCCAACTGATCGGTCTGAGATATCCCACTCCGCCTCCGCCTCGACCCCCTATCCGCCCGCCGGCGTTCTCCCTCTCCACGTGTGCATGTGTCACACGTTCGTCGCTGCTGGTGCTGGTGCGGGTGCTGCTATTTTTTTTCGGGCAGGGCTACAACGGAATCGCGGCGTTGCCGTTTTTTGACGCCATCGATCCCTCCGAGGTGCGCGGTGTTGTAACATCTACACATGGGTGTTTTGAGTATCCTATTGTACATAGTGTAGACGGCACACGTCTGTGCGTAGCTATACTTGGTACAATTTTTTTTTGGGGGGCCTGAATGTTTGTTTGCTCCATCCCTTAGGGACCCGCTCGGCTCGTATTACCAGCGCATGGTAATGGACTCCACGAGATGCTCTCGATGTATGTACATGGCGTTTTTTTTCGCATCGTGGGTATCTCTCATTTCCTACTTCTACATACGAGTTGTTTGTGTCAAACCCGTGAGAGCCGGCTCTCGCTGGTTGGGCCGGCATCCGAAACACGGAGATTGATCGACCATGGTGGGTATATCTTAATGCGAGTCCGTCAACGTCAGCAACAACTTCGTTGTACCAGCTGTGACACTATCGCAACTACTTTCATCACCACCACTCTACCAGTAAAAGCACCATGATGACATGATGACAACCACCACTAGTATTACCCCCATCATCACCAACACCCCTACCACCACCGCCTTTCTTCTCCTGCAACTCCCGCCCCAGCAACCCCAACAACCCAGCAGCAACACAACCTTGTATGATTCATCCTTCATATACCCCCTGTACACTTCTGTACACCCAAACAACCAATCAGATCGACCTCCTGCTGGTGACGCACTTCCACCTCGACCACGCGGCGAGCCTCCCGTACCTCACGGAGAAGACCGGGTTCAAGGGGAGGGTGTTCTGCACTCACCCCACCAAGGCCGTCATGCGGATGCTGCTGTCGGACTACATCCGCCTGGTTAACGTGCACACCGAGCACATCCTTTACGACGAGAAGGTTGGCTTGGGTGTTCGACGATTCCCCCCCCCCCCCCCCCCCCC